CCCTCCTCACCTAATCCCTTTGGCTGATTGCTCTTCTCTTTGGCTTCCTGGGTTTTACCCCTTTCCCCTGCTCTTCCGGCCTGCTACTCTGTGCTACGCCCATGCTTACCTTGCTCCTGGAGACCCGGTCCCTCGGGAGGGTAACAAGGGAAAGTGTTCAGTGCAGATCAGTGAGTAAGCACAAGCCCGCCTGTGCTTACCTCAGCCCCGGTTACTAAGCACAAGCCCTCCCGTGCTTACCTCGCTCCCGGGGACTAAGCACAAGCCCGCCCGTGCCTACCTTGCTCCTGGAGACCCGGTCCCTCTCGGGAGGGTAACAAGGGAAAGTGTTTAGTGCAGATCAGTGAGTAAGCACAAGCAGTCCAAGGTACTTTCAGTATTCTTCGCCAACACCACAACTCAAAACCATCAACTCTTCTTTGATCTTCTTTATTCACTGTCCAGCTTTCATATGTATATGAGGCGATTGAAAGTACCATGGCTCTGGTTAGGCTCACCTTAGTCTTCAATGAGAAATCTTTGCTCCTCAGGACTTGAAAGGGGTCTTTTGAAGCAGACTTTCCTAGTCCAGTATGTTTTCCAATGTCTTGACTGCTGCTTCCATTTGTGTTGATGTGGAACCAGTAGTATGAAATCTCCATCTCCTAGCCTTAATAAATCCCTCCTGTTATTCTGGCCTCAGAACCCCTGATAGCTGCTCAGATGATGGGGATTGAGAATATCTGTTTCTAATATAATTTGGTAATTTTTCAAAAGCTGAAAATTTATTAGATTGTGTTTGGGCCTTTTCTAAAGAATGTTCTTTTATCAAAATTTAAAAAAAAATAGATAATATATCTGATTATCAGATATGTGGGTAAAAATGTCACCTATTCTTTCATATAATTGAAGATGCAGCAATTATAAAAGAACTTACTATATTTCTGACAGAATCTGAAAAAATATTGTGGGACTTATGAAGATATTATACATACACTCCTACACACTTCTTTTGTTCCCTTCTGAATTGTGACTGGAACTAAGATTAAAATTGGAGTGATATAGAAATCAGGAACTCTGGCTCAAGAGTTAGGTTTCCATGGTTCAAGTCTGGCTTTACCACTTAATGAACTGATGTTAGGCAAACGTAATCAATCCCTCTGTGCCTCAGCTTCCTCAGGTGTAAAATGAAGTTTATAATAGTTCTTTTCTTACAGGATTTGGAATGATGATAAAATAAGTTCATACACATAAAGTACTTGGAGTAATGCCTGTGTCATAATAACCTCTCAATAAATGTTAAGCATTGTTGCTGTTAAGGGACATGTGATTCAGTGGTAGAATTCTCACCTTTCATAAAGATGACCTGGATTTGATTCCCAGCCAATGTACCTCATGCACAGCCATGACCCATCTGTCAGTAGAGGCTTGCATGTTGCTACGATGCTTAACAGGTTTCAACAGAGCTTCCATACTAAGATGGACTAGGAAAAAAAGCCTGACAATTTACTTACAAAAAGCAAACAATCAAAACCCTATGGATTAAACAGTCCAGTTCACAACTGATCACATGGATGGCTCAGGACCCAGCAGCATTTTGTTTTGTGGACTGTGGGATCACCATGACTCAGGGACTGACTGGACAGCAGCAGTTAACAACAACATTATTACTATTATGTGGTATACATTTTATTATACAAATACTATAGTAGAAACCAAACTTGGAAGGCATCCTCTTTTAGAAATTCAGTCTTGCTGGTGAATTTCAAGAGCATCTGATAAGCGTTTGTACTTCAGTGGCTCCATCAAACTTTTGTAAATCTGTCTCAAACCTTTTTCTGTTTAATGCTGAAAACAGTTCCATGTAAATATTTCCCTTTGGTCAGCTAATGAATCCAAAATTGAAAGGCAAAAGAAAAAGTGAAAAAAATAAATTTTTTTTCCATTGACTTATAATTGATTCAGAAATGAGATATTCATATTTTAAGCAGGTTTTCCTTTCTCAAGTTGAGAGATGATATTTTTCAGCATGGATATTTCAATAGCAAGTGGTTTTTTTTTCTTTTTTTTAATTATTTTTTTTTTCCTTAAGAATAAAAGTGCATTTCACATTTTTTTGAGCTGTGTTGTTTTGTCTTTCTGGCTTACTCTTCAACTTTAATATTTATAATATTCTTATGGGATAAAAGAATTCATGAAAATGCAAACAGTTGTAATGAGACTTCAGTATACTAAATTCCATAAAAAATTGAGCCACTTTTGAAGCAGGCAATTCAGTAAACTACTCACGTTTCTTAGTAGCACTTTTTAGCAGTTAAATGGGAAACATGATACAGTTAACAACTCTATACTTTTGACAATTTTCCAGAGTCACAGGGGATGAGTATTGAAATAGATACTTGCAATCAGTGGTGTCTTTTGATGATTTACAAGAGTATAACACTATACTGTTTCTTGTTAGGCCCTCATGACATTCTTCAATAAAGTGATTGCCAATGAATCAAAAAACCGAATGAGTATGTGGAACATTTCTACTGTTATGGCACCAAACCTTTTCTTCAGTAGAAGCAAACATTCTGATTATGAAGAATTACTGTTAGCAAACACTGCAGCCCACATCATTCGCCTAATGCTGAAGTACCAGAAAATTTTGTGGAAGGTGAGTCATAATATGATCCCTATTAAAGTTCTCCATGGAAATCCACCAGCATCCAGGAGATGGAAAGCTCCATAAACAAGCAATTTCTAGGTTATGAGAAGATAATCCCAGGTGGCACCTTTATAGGTTCTCTGCATTCTTTAATACATTCTTCCTTTTAAATGGAGTCTCTTAATAGTTTTTTTCTAATCTCTACAAGGCTTAATGTTACTATTTAGGTTCCAGGACACTGAGTGATTAGGATGTTACTGTACCTGAAGATAGGATCTATAGGGAGATGTGTGTCAAGTGTTTTCCCTCCAGTCATCTTACATTTCTTCTCCAGGTTCCATCTTTCTTAATCACTCAAGTAAGAAGAATGAACGAAGCCACCATGTTGTTAAAGAAGCAACTCCCAAGTGTAAAGAAGCTGCTAAGGAGGAAGACCATAGAACGAGAGGTAAGAAAATAATTAAGGGTATAAATCATGTTTACCACCCAGATTTTCACTTCTCAAGGGAGGCACAAAATATCTTGTAATGTTAGAACCAAAAATTTTGTATTTTCATAAAGAATTGGACAGTGAATATAAAAATTGTAGCGATCATGTCTATAATGGAGTACTGTGGTCTTACCATTTTGTTTAATTATGGGATTTTTGGTTAAAATTCTTGAAACATCTAAATTATAAAGATCATTTAGTATTAAGTACTTACTGAAAAGCCTTAAAAGGTTCTGACAAAAGGTAAAGTTGACGTTGTAGTCCCTGTGAAGGTTTAGAAGGAATACAGTCTCCAATATATCTAATAAGTAGATATATGGATAATAAAAGAACATCTAACCTTCAAGTTGTTTTGTGTAAATTCATTGGTTTCCAAAGAAGTTCTGTTTTAGCAAAATTATTTGTATTGAGGTACATAATAAAACTGATTCTAGAAAAATTATCTTTATATTGCTTTAACTTAATTTGAGGAGTGATCACGAGTGTCACACATTGCATTAGTCCTTGATGCAGAGATTCGTAAAATTTGCTTTAAGCTTAAAAGTGCTTACACCTGGTATGAGAGAAAAATATATACAACAGCGATGAGCACACTCAGCAGCAGGCAGAAAATACCAGACCAGTGATGAAGACCTTGTGCTAGAGCCATGCAGAGGAGAAAGAAGTGTGCTTCAAGATGGGAAATTGGGAGGACTTCAGGGAGACAATGACATTTGAGCTACATCTTGAAGGACAGATAGCATTTTGAAAGAAGAACAGTAGATAAAGGTCTTTCAGGGAAAGGGAATATAAATGCCAAGGCAGTGAAGTGAGAGGTATTACTAATTGATTTCTCACAACCAAGATGAATGGCTATATTTCCTGTAGATTAAAAGCAAAGTCACTTCAAATCAGGTAGAACCAACACTTTTATTAGTAGTTATTTTTTTAATTTGTATTGAGATACAAGTCCAAAAACAAAGTCACCATTTACACTACTTTAAAGTATATAATTCCATGGATTTTAGTATATTTACAATATTGTACAACAATCACCACTATCTAATCAGAGAACATTTTCATTATCCAAGAAAAGAAACACCATACCTATTAAGTGCTCACTTCCCATTACCCCCTTCTCCAGCTCCTAGCAACTACTAGTCTACTTTCTATTTCTATTGATTTACCTATTTTAAACATTTCATGTAAATGGAACCATAGAATATTTGTCCTTTTGTGTCTGATCTATTTTATTTAGTATAATGTTTTCAAGGTTCATCCATGACATAGCATCTTCAGAACTTCATTTCTCTTTATGGCTGAATAATATTCCATTGTTTTTATATACTACATTTTGTTTATACACTCATCTGTTCATGAACGGCTGGGTTGTTTCCACCCACCTTTTGGCTATTGTAAAAAATGCTGCAATGAACCTAAGTGCGTAGTACCTGTTTGAGTCCCTACTTCAAGTCTTCTGGAATTACCTAGGAGTGGGACTGCTGAGTCATAGGTTAATTATATGTTTCACTTTTTAAGGAACTTTCAAGCAGTTTTTCACAGTGACTATACTGTTTTACCCACCAGCCACTCCTCGGAAGGAAGGTTGGGCAATCCTACTTCCGTAGTGATGCTGCCTCGGAAACCCAAGGAGGGGTTGCTATGAGTCGGGTTTAACTCGACAGCACATAACAACAACAACAACAACAACATACTGTTTTACGTACCAATAATGGAAAGAGTTCTGGTGACATAGTACCTAAGGCATTTGACTAACCAGAAGGCTGGCAGTTCAAACCCACCAGCCACTCCTTGGAAGGAAGATTGGACAGGAGTTCTAATTGCTTCACAGTGTCACCAACATTTCTTGTTTTTTGTTTTTATGTTAATAGTCATCCTAATGAGTGTGAGGGAGCTCCGGTAGCATAGTGCCTAAGGCACTTGACTGCTAACCAGAAGGCTGGAGGTTCAAACCCACCAGCCACTCTTTGGAAGGAAGGTTGGGCAATCTACTTCCATAGTGATACTGCCTCAGCAACCCAAGGAGGGGTCGCTGTGAGTCGGATCCCACTCGATGGCATATAACAACAATAACAACAGCACCAACGAGTGCGAAGTGCTGTGGTTTTGATTTACATTTCTCTAATGACTAATAACATCAAGCATCTTTTAATATGCTTATTGGCCATTTGTACATCCTCCTTGAGGAATATCTATTCAAGTCCTTATAACCTATTTTTTTAAAATCTTAATTTCAATTGAAAGACAGTTCAGTAACAGGTCACAAAATTCAAAAGGCACAAAAGACCACAGACTGAAAATTGGCCACGTCTGACTTCCCTCTGGGAGACAGATAATATCCCTAATGACAGATGTGCATGCACAGCCACGTAAGGTATGCAGACTTCCGGAAATAGTCTCTGCATATACAACCAATGTGAATCATCTTCTTCCTTCTTTCCTCACATGACAGCATCATATGCTTGTTTGTCAATATTAATTTTAAAAACTTAATGTTTTCTTTCAGGTTACAAGCCCTAAGAATTCAAAAATACTACAAAAATCACCCTCTTCAAGAAGAGTGGTAAGAAAACATGATTTCTTTTTCTCCTTATTAACTACCTATGTAATATTTCCTGCAATACAATACAATATTTTCCTACATCAAATATATACATGTATAATTTTGGTCAATCTTGAATTTTTTAATGTGACCCATGAAGGAATAGTATAGGGAATCCACTAACTGATACTCAAAACAATACTGTTAGGCAGCTTGCAAACTGAATGCTATAGAAGTTATGGTGGAAACTGATTATTATGATCATAGGTCCAATAATGTCAGGAATATGGAATTTATCTTACAGAGGCTTCAGGAGAGCTATAAGGAGAGGGATGCAAGATGTTCAAGTGAGTATTTTAGAAGTACAGTTTTAGCTTTAGTTAGCTGGGTACACTCTATCCCTCTCCAGTGCAAAATCCTTAATATCCATTCCCTGACATGCTCTCTGGTTCTTGCTGGTAGTATTCGGAAGGCTTGTAGGTATTGGGAGCTCTGGTGGCATAGTTCCTAAGGCATTTAACTGCTAACCAGAAGGCTGGCAGTTCAAACCCACCAGCCACTCCTTGGAAGGAAGACTGGGCAATCTGCCTCAGAAACCCAAGAGGGGAATCACTATGAGCCAGAATTGACTCAACAGCAGTGAGGTGTTTTTTTTTGTTTGTTTGTTTGTTTGTTTTTTGTAAGTACTTACTTTATTTGGGAGCTCTGGTGGCATAGTGCCTAAGGCATTTGACTGCTAACCAGATGGCTGGAGGTTCAAATCCACCAGCCACTCCTTGGAAGGAACGTTGGCCAATCTACTTCCGTAGTGATACTGCTTCAGAAACTCAAGGAAGGGTCACTATAAGTTGGATCCGACTCCATGGCAGTGGGTTTGGTTTTTTTTGTTTACTTTATTTTAAAATATTTATTCCAGAGTGTGTATTGAATCAATGCACATAAACCTTCTACATTGATAATGCCATCCTTTAAGAATGTACATATTTAAAGCAATTTTCTGAGGTTCTCAAACAAGTGAAATTTATTTCTGTTCATTTTCTAAGTAGAAAATTAATTTTAAAATAATTCAAATTTTGAAAGAAAAGTAATTTTCCAGTTAATACTGGCAAAATGGAAATTTGTATTAATTAGACAGCATTCTTCTTTGAATAGGAGTCACCAGGAGTTGAAATAGTTAACTCACATGCCGTCTAGCCAAAAGGTTGGCAGTTTGGGTCCACCTACAGGCACCTTGGAAGAAAAGCCTGGTGGGTTACTTCCAAAAACCCAGCCATTGAAAACTCTGTGCACCACGTACTCTGATATGTGTGGGGTCACAATGAATCAGAGTAGACTTAAGGGCAACTGTTTTGTTCTTTGCATATTCCATGTAGATTAAGGTTGGGAGGTCCCCAAGCCCAAGAGAATCACATGATTAACACCCTCTGCCCTGAGAACATGCCCACACTCTGCTCTGTGTCACCATAGTGTCCCCAGCACACTTTGAGGGGTCAGGTTTCAAGTGCCCATATATTCTTCATTCTCATAAAAAGTGAAACTGGTCGAGTAAATGAAGCCACCAAAACAAAAGATACAATGTTGTACAACAATCACTGCTATTGAATTACAGAACATTGTCATCACCCCAAAACATGTGGGCTAGCCACTAAAGGCTGCTAATTAAAGAAAGAGGTTACTTAAGAGGCCATATTTTCTAATTGGTCCTTAAAATTTTCAGAAGGTTGATTTTAGTATATACAAAAGTACAAAGTTCTGCTTAAAACAGGCTTATTTGGGGCATTTTCCAAGGAAGCATATTGATAAAAGCATTATTTTCATCATGATGCTATTTTGCTTCTCTGAAAGCTTTAAGGCATTATAGTAAGACCTAAGCATATAACAAAAGTAAAATCTCAGGTTAATTTTAGTCATTAGTGAGTAGTGAGTCTCCTAGTCAACAAGAAAGCAGTGTTTTATGCTAGTTAAATAATGATCATGTTTATAAGTTTTCTCAATTGATTGCCACTGATTTTCTTGATTTCCCATAAATGCAGTCATTGCATTGATATCCATCCTTATTTGACAGAACATACTTCATTTTTTCTCTTTGACAGTCTGATGTACCTGAAGGAGTCATAAGGGTCCATGCTCCACTTCTCTCTAAGGTATCCATGGCCATTCAACTCAATAGTCAAACCAAAGCCAAAGACATATTGGCAAAATTTCAATATGAGAACAGGTGAGTAAAAGTGAATGAAGGTATTTACCCAAGAAAGTGAATTTGTATCAGAGGAGTAACTTTTCAGTCATTTCCAAATTTGGCCTTTTGAAAAATTAAAATCTGTTATTTCTGAGGCTTAACCATTAGATTAAGAGTCAAAGGTAGAGAAGGAAGTCAGTAGACCAGTCAGTAGACCACAGAATTATCCATAATAAAATTTTTTTTTTTTCAAAGGAATTTCTACAGATGGGATTTTCGTCAGGTATCTTGTTTTGGTGGCTTAATTATCCAATGAGTTTTGGTTTTGTTTGTTTGTTAAAAATGAAGAATATAACAAGGTAGCTTAGTACACATGAAAGATTTTCAGGAATACCATTATTCCACACTCTAGTGGGCTTTAACATGCCTGTCTCACATTGATTTCTAAGTGTTAAAAAGAGCACCATAGCTGTTTGGTTTGTTTAAAATATGCTGTTAATTATTCTTGGGATCAGAATGGTAATTAAGAAAATTGTCTTCGCTGTTGTTATTATTAGGTACCATTGAGTCAGGTCTGACTCATAGCGATTCTATGTACAACAGACCAAACCACTGCCCAATCTTGCACTATCTTCACAATCCTTACTATTCTGAAGCCTATTGTTGTAGTCACCATGTCAATCCACCTAGTTGAGGCTCTTCCCCTCTTTCACTGACTCTTTACTTTACAAAGCACAATATCTTTCTCCAGGGACTTTTTGACGATGTGACCAAAGTATATGAGGTGAAGTTTGGCCATTCTCACTTCTAAGGAGCATTCTCCCCATACTTCTTCAAGCCACATTTGCTGGTTCTTCTGTCAGTGCATGGTATTTTCAGTATTCTTCACCAACACCACAATTCAAATGCATCAATGCATCTTCAGTCTTCCTTATTCATTGTCCATATAAGGCTCTTGAAAATGTCATGGCTTGAGTCACACACACCTTACTCTTCAAAGTGACATCTGTGCTCTTTAATACTTTAAGAGGTCTTTGGCAGCAGATTTGCCTAAGTGCAATATGTTGTCCAGTTTCTTGACTGTTTCTTCCATGGGCATTAATTGTGGATCCAAGTAAAATGAAATCCTTCACAACGTCAATCTTTCTCGTTTATCGTGATGTTGTTTATTGGTCTAGGTGTGAGGATTTTTGTTTTCTTTATGTGGAGGTGTAATCCATATGTAAGACTAGTCTTTGATCTTTATCAGTAAGTGCTTCAAGTCTTCTTCACTGTCAGCAAGCAAGGTTGTGTCAGCTGTGTATCAGATTGTTAATTAGTCTTGCTCCGATCCTGATGGACTATATTCTTTTTCATATTGCCCAGCTTCTCAGATTATTTGATCAGCATATAGATTGAGTAAATATGGTGAAAGGATACAACCCTGACACACATCTTTCCTGATTTTAAACCATGTGTTATCCTTAATCCTGTGTGACTAACAGCTTCTTGGTGTATACAGGTTCCCATGAGCACAATGAAGTGTTCTGGAATTCCCATTCTTCACAACATTATCCATAATTTGTTATGATCCATTCATTCAAATTCCTTTGCATAGTAAACAAAACAGAGGTAAACCTCTTTCTGGTATTCTTTGTTTTCAGCCAAGATCCATTTGATATCAGCAATAATAGCCCCAGTTCCACAACCAATTCTGAATCTGGCTTGAATTTCAAATTGAATTGTCAATATGCTGCTGCAACTGTTTTTGAATTATCTTCAGCAAAATTTACTTGCATGTGATATTAAGAATACCATTCAATCATTTCCATATTCTCTTGGATACCCTTTGTTTGTAATGGACACAAGTATGGATCTCTTCCAGTTGGTTGGCCAGGTAGCTGTTCTCCACATTTCTTGGCATAAATGAGTGAGTGCCTCCAGTGATGCATCTGTTTGTTGAAACATCTCAATAGGTATTACATCAATTTCTGGAGGCTTATTTTTCACCAATTCCTTCAGTGCGTCTTGAACTTCCTTCTTCACTACCATAAGTTCTTGATCATATGCTTCCTCCTGAAATGGTTGTACATCGACCAATTCTTTTTGGTACAGTGACTCTGTGTTCCTTCCATCTTCTTTTGATGCTTCCTGTATCATTCAATATTTTTCCCATAGAATCTTTCAGTATTGCAACTCAAGGCTTGAATTTTTTCTTCAGTTCTTTCAGCTTGAGAAATGTCAAGTGTGTCCTTTCCTTTTGGTTTTCTAATTCCAGGTCTTTGCACATTTCATTATCATACCTTACTTTGTCTTCTTGAGCCACCTTTTGAAATCTTCTGTTCATCTCTTTTATATATCATTTCTTCCATTCACTTTAGCTACTTTCCCTTTCAAGATCAAGTTTCAGCGTCTCTTCTGACATTCATTTCGTCTTTTCCTCATATCATGTCTTTTTTAATGACATTTTGCTGTCCAGTATGATCTTCTTGATGTCATCCTACAGCTTATCTGGTCATCAGTTGTTTGTGTTCAGTGTATCAAATCTGTTCTTCAAATGATCTCTGAATTCAGGTGGGTTATAATCAAAGTTGTATTTTGACTCTCTATTTTTTAAAATTTTCTTCAGCTTCAGGTTAAACTTATATATGAACAATTGATGGATCAGAATGGTATTTAAGAAAGTTCTCTTTATATATCTGCAATAAATCATATTAAAAAGACCATAAAATCCTGATGATTTTTATTTAGACATGCTTATTCAAGGATAAACATTTGCCATGATGTTTTTAAAAGATGAGAAGCACTACTTTAAATCTGTCCATTGGAGAGCAGGTAGTTTGATGATACCAAAATTCATCAAACTTGAATTTCAAATTGAATTGTCAATGTGCTACTGCAACTGTTTTTGAATTATCTTCATGAAAATTTTACTTGCATGTGATATTAAGAAACTGGATATCTTTAAGAAGCAGCTTTCCAGTATATTAACAAGGAGTAGCCAAAAAAAGCCCATTGCTAAAGGTTGCATACTGCATAACTCCATTTAGATAACATTTTTTAAGTAAAAATTTTACAACTCGAGGATTGATTAGTAGTTGCCAGACATGAGGACCATGGGGTCGAAGGGTGTGTTTGTATGTGTATCTGTGTGTGTGTGTGTGTGTGCAGGTTTCATGGTAGGGACATAAGTGTGGTTCTAAAAGGACAACAGGGAGAACCATTGTAGTATGGGAATGGTTCAGTATCTTGACTGTGGTGATGGATACAACAAATCGATATATACACAAACAGACATATACAGGTACAAGTAAAACATGGGGAATATGAAAAAGACTGGATTATATCAATGTCAGTATCCTGAATGTGATATTATAATATAGTTTGGGGAAATTCTACTATTGGAGAAAACTGGGCCAAGTGAACAAAGAATTTCTCCATATTATTTCTTAACACCTGTATGTGAATCTATAATTATTTCAATAAAAATGTCAATTAAAAAATAGAAGCACACAGTAAAAGTAGTCTATGGTGTTGGAAGATAGGATGGTGGTTTTATCATGGAGGCTAAAGAGTGACTGAGAAGGTATGATATGAAGGAGGCACTTCTAAGAAGCTATTTTTCTATATATGGGAGCTGGTTACATATGCGTTCACTTGGTTAAAATTCATCAAGTTGTATATATTTTGTGTATATATTTTAAAGCTTACGGGAAAAAGTGAGAATAAGAGTAGACAGAAGCCAAGAGAAGCCCCCTTCCCATCTCTGCAGAGCCTCCACCTCTATGCAGCAATAATGAGATTTAATGAGGCATTGCAAGTCAGGCTAGTCACCAGTAGGCTTCCCCACCACCACCTCCTGGTGTCAGTGGGGCCTATTGGTTGAACCTCTCTACCCCCACCCAGCATCAATGAGACTGACAAAGGCCATGCAAGTCAGGGGTGTAAGCACTCCACTCACCTCCCCCCATTCCTGATGTCAGTGAGGCCCGGTGGGGAGTTGAACCTCCACCTAGCATCAACAGAACTGAACCAGCAAGGTGAAACAGGGCTAGCCCACACTACTGTTCCCTCCTGCCCCCACTGGTATCAGCTGTCCCTTCAGCTCAGCTTCCCACTAGGTCCACCCAATACCAGTAGGAAGCTTAGCCTCTACCCCCACCGTCATCAACTAAATGGAACAGGTAATAGGAAACAAGGATAGTTGACTCTCTGCCACCACTCCTCTTTGCTGATGTCAGCACAACCCAGTGTGGAACTGAGTTTCCAAACTCACTTTGCAGCAACAAAGTAGTATGAGCCACCACTTGGCTTTCCCTCTCATTGGTGGCAGCAGAGACTAGCAGGGAACTGATACTACACACTAGTTGGAATGAATGAATCAATGTCACTTGTTGTCCCACTTTCATTGGAAAGGCTGTCTACAAGGCCTAGTGGGAAGCTGGACATAACACATCTACCTCAACCTCATACTAATCCTCAGCAGAAAGACAACCTACCAAAAAATGAAGATCAAATAGGGACTAGTCTACTAATATAATATCCATAATTTCCAGGATATAGAAAATCATTCATTATAACTAGAACCAGGAAAATAACAACATACATGAAAAAACCAAATGCCATCACTAAATTGATCAGATGTTAGAATTGTTTGACTTAGATTTTTTTTTTCTTTTTCTTTTTTTTTTAAATTGTGATTTGGGTGAAGATTTACACAGCAAATTCACTTTCCATACAGCAGTTCACATACACTTTGTCTCATGACATTGACCACAGTTTACCACAATGCAGCAGCTCCCCTCCCACTTCCTCCCCATAGTTACCTCTTCCCCGTGTCCATCCCTTCATGGACTACTGCCCCCTAAGCTGTCTCCCTGTGCATAAGCAGCCCTTATTTCTCCCATGATTGTTCTCTCCAAGGAGAGTATCTACTTGAGGTAAATGTTTAACTCATATGCCTGTATTTTGTTTGGCTGGAAACCACAGGTGTGGGTTCAATTCCAGACCTGAAGGGCAGCTAGGGGCCATAGTCTCAGTGGTTCCACCAGGCTCTATCA